GGACATCATCGTAAAAATAGTCAGGGAAGTTTCCTGTGACCTTCAAACGTCGAGATCTGATGAAAACTCGATTTTTGTAAAACGGGGTGAAAACAATAACTTCCCGATTTTTGAAAATCTGAGATTTTTAGCGGGAAGTTAAAAATCCTGCCCACGCCCTTTTCGTAATCAAAATCAATACCTGGATTCTTTAAAGTTTGCAAATTTTATACATGAAATAACAACATAATATTAACATTCAATTGATCAATTTTGATTTAATTACATGCATATAAAAATATTATTATTATATACAGTATAAACATTACTTGAATTTACGACCAGAATGCAAATATTGATCTCAACTAGAAGGTGTGTTGATCCTGTAAAGACATCCATAGTGTAGTCATGTACAATGCGCACCTGAGAAATCAGAAAAAAATTTTTGCTAACGACAAGTTTACATTTTATGTTTTTTAGCGTGAAGTAACTATAAGTTCATAATTATAAATAACAAATTTTCAAGAACTAAATACAAAATTTAATTAATTAATTAAAAAAAGAATGATATTATGATAAAAAATTTGTGAAATATTTAACTCTCTTGCCTGACAATGATTTAAGCGTTCTCAGGATTTTTGAGTTTGAAATTTCTGTTTTCTTATTTTCATTATTTACTAAAAAAAAAAATTTCATTTTTAATACCAATAAAAAAAATATATATATTTTTCGATTTTGTTAAAGTAATTAAAATTTTCTAAACAAATAGAACGTCTGTCAAGTTAGCATTGACACAATTCAGCATTAACTATCAGTATCTTGATCATTATTTAAGCAACAAAATTTATTTATGGTATTAAATTTGTAACTTTATTGTTGCTCTAATTAGAATTTTGTTGCTTGAATAGATTTATAGCAATTATTAATAATGTCGGTCAATGCTGGGGTGTGTCAATTCTAACATTATAGACGAATAAATAAATGTATCCTTGTTCTTATCTACATAACTTCTTAAGTCAGACTTAAAAAATTAACTTTAAACTCAAATCTTGGCATGAACTGTTTTCAAGCTCTAAATACTTGAAAAGATACAAATCACTAAGTAATGGGGTTCTTTGATGATTATTTTTAAGATTTAAAAAATACTGTAAAACTCCTATGAATTCGAAATGAAAAGAGAGAGAAGGGAAGCTATCCTTGCGTTTCTTTAATTGTGTACTGGTGAGCAAATAAAAAAGAGAACAAAAATAGCTTATCCTCTCTCTTTTTCGACATCGAATTCATAAGAATTCTATTGTATTTTAAAAAACCAAATTCGTAAAAATTTTTTAACTACAACATTTTCTATTTCTTATAATACTATTGGAACAAATGAATCGTTTTTTAAGCACTTCACGGCATTCGACGTTGTTTTTTTTTTTAGAGTAAAAACTGATGGGATTTGGAATTAATCAATACAGTAGTTCGGAAGTTATTGTGAATAAATTGTATTTTTTAAATTTCTCAAAATTTTTTAATTTTCTCATAAAAACTAAATGCATTAACTCTATCGACATAGAGTTATTATCGAGAAGATTATCATCTTCTTAACCCGCGTTCTTACCGGTTAAGCCCATAAAAATTTATGAGAGGTTTACACATACACAGAGAAAGCCTGGCCAAGCGAGCAATATCGTCTTCAGCGACATTTTTGAAAAAAAATTTTTCTCTAAGTGTATTTGACAAAGGGGCATTGTTAAGCCTGACTAAGCTATCGAAAAAATTAATAAAATAAATTCCTATGACACCATGGCAACATAAGAAAAATTCTTATGTTTTTATATAGAAATTGTCTCTTTGTTAACACAGTAATTTTTCCTATGCATTCAAAGATCGAACATTTTCAAATTTAGTATTGTTCAATGAATTAGGCGCATATGTCACATTTTTTCTAGAAAAATAGTTGAAACAATCAATAACTTTACATTTTATTAAAGAATGTTGTTATAGATAAGTAAATAAAGATAGTCTTATTTTAAATGGAAATAATAGTGGCAAATGGTAAAAAATTTGGAGTGAATTCGAAATGAATCTTCACTCCTGTCACTGCGGTATGATAAAAATTCAAATTAAAAAAAAATTTTTCAATAAGGAAAAAATAAAAATTTTTAAAAAAATTAGAAAAAACGGTAGACCCTGAAGGCCATCCCGACAACTTCTCGCTAATTTCATACCTAGGTGCTTAAAATTGCACTGATATTTTTGAGTTCTCCGATTTATGTATTATTTCAAGCTCTCCGAGCTTAAAGACATAGCTTTTTATGCTTTTGAGCTCTTCGAGCTCAAAAGTCTGATAGAAATTTCATAGAACAATATTTTTTGAATTTTCAAACCGCAATAACTTTTGGATGAATCAACCAATTTTTACGCGGTTGGCGGGATTTGAAGCAGATTTTTCAGCTTCATAAAGAATTTTCAAGTTTGAATTGATAAAACTAATAAATTTGGAGTAATTCCGAAAAAACACTTTTTTCGATTTCCTGTCGTTCATGATATCTCTTGAACGAATTGACCGATTTTGACCGACTTGACAGCGATCAACGTAATTTTTTTTATGTTAATAGCTGATTAGTTTTTGAAATTGATCGATAAAGCCGTTCAAAAGTTATTCCAAAAAAACCACTTTCAAAAATGATTTTTCAACTTCCCGCTAAAAAAATCGAAGATTTTCAAAAATCGGGAAGTTATTGTTTTCACCCCGTTTTGCAAAAATCGAAGATTCGTCATGAAACTAAAAAAATTGCGTCAAACACTGCCAACCGCGTGAAAATCGGTTGATTCATTTAAAAGTTAGTGCGGTTTGAAAATTCAAAAAATATTGTTCTATGATACTTCTATCAGACTTTTAAGCTCGAAGAGCTCAAAATAACACATAAATTGTATAACATCAATGAATAACGTCATTAGTGCAGTTTTATGCACCTAGGTATGGAATTAGCGGGAAGTTGCACGGATGGCCTTCAGGGTCTACCATTTTTCTAATTTTTTCTTATTTTTTTTTTAGATTTTTCAAAATTTCTCAAAATCTATTGATCCGAATCGGTTCAAATTCACAGGAAATCTAAGTTTGAGGGAACTCTTTAGAACGCCGTTTGGTAGGTTCCGATCGGTTTAGTCATTCAAAAGTTATAAGCGATTCACATACTTACACACACACACACACACACACACACACACACGCGCGCGCGCGCGCACGCATGCACAAACATACAGACATACAAACATACAGACACCATCGCGGGAATAGTCAGGGAAGCTTCCTAGGACCTCGAAACGTCGAGATTCGATGAAAACTCGATTTTTGCCAAACGGGGTGAAAACAATAACTTCCCGATTTTTTAAAATCTTCGATTTTCTTAGCGGGAAGTTAAAAATTCTCCCTCCATGGTCGCCTCGATATTTCAAAAACGGGTCATCTGAGAAAAAATAATCCAAGTTTATTCTAATCTATATGAATGTATTAGTCATCGTTGAACGAAGCCGATTTTTTTTTCAGGCTTGATGGCAATGCTCATATCTTTAAGACAATTAAATATTTTTTAATAAAAATTCATGTAAATTTTTAATAAAAATTCATGTAAATATTGTTGGATGTACACTCAATAAAATAAATGAAAAACAATCCTGATATTATTTTATTTTCCCGGTAAAAAAAAATCTCGAAAATCTCTCATTTTTTTCGGCTGTCACAGTGGCTATCCTACTTTAAGGGGGAACACCACTGTGACGATCGAAAAAAAGAGGTGATTTTCGGGAATTTTTTTGGCAGGGAAAATAAAGGAATTTGGGGATCGGATTTTTTTTATTTTATTAAGGGTACATTTAAAATTATTACCCTAAATTTTTATTAAAAAATATTTAATTATTACAAAATTATTAACAATCTCGAAGAGCACTAGAAAAAATTTCCCCCTCCATAGTCGGTTCAATAACTCAAAAACGGATCATCTGAAAATAAAAACCTAAATTGCTTTTTAATAAGTAATATGTAGTTATCGTCGCACGTACGGAATTTTGAAATTTTCAATTTTTAAAAAAATGGCGACTGACGGTGAAAATTTTCTTACAATTCTTACTGTTTTTTTTTTTTTTGGTTTAGCCCGGCTAAGAAAATCTTTAAAATAAAAATTTTTTCAATTCCGTTCGTGCGACGATAATAACTACATCCTTACTGATTAAAAAGCAATTTGGGTTTTTATTTTCAGATGATTCGTTTTTGAGTTATCGAACCGACCATGGAGGGGGAAATTTTTTCTAGTGCTCTATGAGACTATTAATAACTTTGTAATAATTAAATGTTTTTTAATAAAAATGTAGGGTAATAATCTTTAATGTACCCTTAATAAAATAAAAAAACTCCGATCACCAAATTCCTTTATTTTCCCTGTCAAAAAAATTCCCGAAAATCACCTCTTTTTTTTTCGATCGTCACAGTGGTGTTCCCCCTTAATGACTCTAATTTTACTCTTTTCGTGGAACAATATGTAGTACACGAATCAACATCAACAAAATTATATAGATACTATAACATTGAACAAATGCTTCATTATCAGGAATACTAACATAAAACATAATCGTATAAGAGTTTTCTTCGGATATGTTCGGCTTGTGTATATAATAAGCCTTCGGTGTGACTGTGTTATAGCTAACCTGAGTAAATATTTTTATTTATAGTCCATCATGGAGTATCAGTCGTATATAAAAATGTATTTTAATGTTAATTAAAATTTCAGTGTGTTAGCATTTCCACTGAATTTATTTATGAAATAATTTATCCAGCGTTTATTTAATTTAAATAAAAAACTACAAGGACTGAATTTTGTTATTTGACACGATAAGAGCAATGAAATTGTCAGTGTTGTGTCATAAAACGATAAATAAATTTATTTGATCAAAGATTCAATACATAATTGCAGTGATACAAGATTTATCAATAAAATAGCTAAGATTTCAAAACTCTTGTTTTAATTCAAAAAGTAAAAATGTTATCCGATGTTGACGTGTTTATTAGCAACTACACACTAGTAGATCCCGAAGTGTATCAACTTTGGGTTGATGGGTATTCATGTAAGAATTTTCTTTCTATTTCTTCTTTTATTACTTATTGCCAACTATTATCATTTAAAATAATATATCTAATTACAGCTAGTGATGCAGTTTCCCTTCTAAATCAGCGGGGAATATGCCAACAAACAAATGCTCCAATTGAGCTTGTAGCATCCGACATATTGGATCATTACCGTACTTATTCTCTTCTTGAAAGATTAATTCACACACCAACGAAATTAGCTAGTGAACAATTAGCGTTTCAAATTGAACCACAAACTAGCCAAATGTTGATAGAAATGTAAAATATTTTTAATATTCATTTGTAGTGAAAACGCTTTAAATATTTTTTTATGATATTGAAATTCACAGACATTTGACAATTGTTTTATTCCTTTTGACAAATACAATATAGTTAAAAAAATATTTTTTTTTTTTTGAGAATTGCGCTTATAGTTTCTTAAAATATCTATTTACGGAATTTTCTTTACAGTAATTTATCTGTTAAGAAAAATCCTTGAAATTATCAGATATCTCTTTATTTCAGTATCATAATTTTCAATTTTAAAATATAACTATATACAAGTAAAAAATATCTATTAATTTTCAAAAGTTTTTTATACATAAAATACAGTCAATGCATTCAAGAATAATACTTTTTACTTAGTAATAAGTTCGTATTTTCATATTACTGTCGAATATGATAAACAAATAACAAAGCGGTTTTTATAGATTTTCTCAGAATTTTATCGATCAACCCTTAATTCTGACTTAAGAGTCACATTCAGCCAAAGAAAAAACTATAACGATCCATTACAGTTTGAGCTCCAATATAACTTATTCATGGGTCTGTGAAATTATTTAAAAAATTTTCAACTTAAAATTTCTTTAACATGAAGTTAAATTCAATTTTTAAAGTGAAAAAATTTTTATAAAAAAATTGTTTATTAATTTTCACTTTTCTGCAATGAAAATAAAAATAAAAAGCTAACAATTATTAAAAACCTAGACTTTAACAAGTAAAATTTTAAAGACCATCAATGATATAATATAATATTTTTAATCGTATTCAAAAAAAATAATTTTAGTCTGATTTAAACAATAAAATAATCTGAGCTTGAAATTAATAGAAAATTTAGTAATTAATCCATTAGAAGCGTTTTTAACCATAATTATTCAAATTCAGATGAATCCTTACAATTATTATTTTAATGATTCCAGGTACTATGAATTCGATGACTGTGTAATCCGTGAAATATTAGGTAAAAAATTAACTTCCAAAAGTAGAAAAGACTTGGATGAAGTGGCTGAGAAAACAGGAATTACATTAAAAAGTTGTCGAAGACAATATGACAATGTTAAAAGAGTTTTCAAAGCTGTAGAAGACTTATCTGGTTCTCTAGTTACTAACATAAAACAACATTTCTTGCTTCCGGATGATTTAGCTAAGTAAGTATTGATTAACTATAACAATGAGTAATTATTGAAATGCTTTTTTTTTTTGCAGGCGGTATGCAGCAGTAGTATTTATAGCTTGTTTAAGATTTGAAATGAGCAAACGAAAATTACAATTTTTAACATTTCCGGACCTTTATCATTGTGCAAATATTATGATGTCGTCATGGACCTATCGCTATACAGGCTCAGAATATTTCGATACAGATTTAGATAGAGAATTTCTCGTGGAGCTGTCAGAGTGTAGAGTACTGTTAGAAAATGACAAACATCATAAGTAGTAAGTAGTTAAACTATTAAATTGATACTATTATATAGCTGATATTGATTATAAATATGATAAAAATTGTAGTTTGGTATGTATAAAGTTGAAGCCAACTCTTTTAGAAAAGATGTTTCAAGAGTTAGATTTAAACTTTCGTAATTACTCTCGAGCTTTGTTGGGAATTGGTTGTAATCTACATCGTTCAAGAGAATTAAGATTTTTCTTCCTGGAACTAGTAGAACGATGTATAGAACCATGGCGCCAAGTAAATTGGTCGCATACAGACTTAAAAAATTTTTTAAATGCTTATACACAATGTGCGCTCGATATGGATGTTTTGAGGTAAATATGAGTGATTAAACTTTCTAATAATGTTGACAAAATTTTTTAAGTCAAAATTATCGAAAAAAGTGAAGTAAAAAATTATTATTACAGTTGGATCTCTTTATAAGACTACAAATTACGATACTTCTTCATTGGTTAAAATTTATTCAAAATATTTTCCTTAGCTAGTTTTCTGCCGAATGATACATGTTTTCTTATAAAAAATATAATAAATATAGTCATTTATGTTTCTTAAGTAGTCTTGTAATAAAGTTCGATTGTACTTTGAATTTTTGTAAATAATACTTGGTAATTTTTTAGAAATATTTAAGTCCTTTTGAATAATTGATGTTTTTGTCCGTATAATAATTTTCAATATAAAAGTATAAACTATAATTTACTTAAAATTTATTTGTTTAAGTAAGACGTTTTAAAAAACAATGTCAACATTTTTAATTTTTCTTGATAGCCTCATAATATGTATATTTTTATATTAATTTATTATATAGAGAAGGTACACTGCGAGACGCATTTGAACGATATATGAAAGTTGTTACGAGCTGTTTATTACGAATGTACCATCCATGACAACTAATTTACGTCTGCAACGAAGACGTCATTACTGTACAAGAGGATGAAGAAAAAGAAGAAAGTCGATAAATGATGTATATTACAATTTATTTCTTAATTACTTTTTTCAGTTTTTTTTTTTTTTTTCTGTAATAAATATTCGTTAACGTGTGGCACATCTCCGTATGTTTCTTTTATGCCATAATCAGTATTCACAAAACTACATTGTTATATCATTGAAATGTATTTTTATAATTTTCTATTCAAGATTGCGAGCTTGACACGTTTTTCTGTTAGCTTGAAATAATCCAATTGATAACAAAAAGAACTGTAAATGACGTCCTTCACTAAATGAAAATTATTATGAATAAATTAAATTAAAATGTTAACTAATTCAGTACACTTTGAATCCAAAGATGAAATTTTAATTATTATCATTGTCAACGTGCAAGTTAATTGTATTCTTCTATGACTAATTGAATTTTTTGGATTACTAATTTTCTACTGAAAGAAATATTTCATTTATTAGTTCCTTATAGCAAAAAGAAAAAATAATCAAACAATGAGAACACCAAATTAATTTGGATAAATGAACGATTATTTAATCCTTTCAATTTTCTATATAATTTTGCTACTGCGATGCACCTAAAAGTTTTATAACTGTTTTAACAACATCTTGGGATTGTGGAAGAGCCAGAGCTTCCAATGATTTGGTGTATGGCATCGGAACATCAGCACCCGTAACACGTATAACCGGTGCATCAAGATGGTAAAATGCTTCGCCTAGAATCAATTGATTTTTCTTAATCCTTACTCCAAAAAGAAATACACACAAATAAGCAATAATAATTGTTTATTAAAAACTTACTCTCCATAATTCTTGCAGAAATTTCTGCACCAATGCCACACGTCGGCCATCCTTGTTCTACAGAAACAAGGTGATGGGTCTTTGATATTGATTTGAGAATAGTTTCCGTGTCTAGAGGTCTAAGTGATCGTAAATTGATAACTTCAGCTTCTATTCCTTTACCAGCAAGCTCGTTGGCAGCTTCCAGGGCAAGTTCAACAGCTTTGGAATGTGCTACTAAAGTGATATGTTTACCTGGCCGTTCGATTTTAGCTTTACCAATAGGTAGAACAAAGTCTTTTGACATTGCCTCGTCTGACATTGGATATTGAACACCATAAAGAAGTTCATTCTCCAAGAATACTACTGGATCAGGATCACGAATGGCAGCTTTTAGTAAGCCCTTACAATCTTCACTATTGTAAGGAGAAATAACTTTTAAGCCAGGACAATGTGCGTACCAAGCTCCAAAACATTGAGAATGTTGAGCACCTACACCTGAGGCTGCACCATTAGGTCCCCGAAATACTATTGGTACATTTACTTTACCCGCAGACATATAAAATGTTTTAGCTGCTGAGTTTATTATTTGATCAATTCCTTGCATGGCAAAATTGAAAGTCATAAATTCACACACGGGTCGTAATCCAGCCTATAAATTATTTGTTTATTTTTTTTTTTTTTAATTGTAAAAATTAATTTTTGTTATTAATTAATCGTGCCTATGATAATAAGTAATGATAATAATAATAGTGAAACCATAGAAAACTGAAAGATGAATTAATATTAAGAATTAAATCACTAACATTTGGACATCCTGTCAACTATATTTTGACTTAAAATCTATAAAAACTTAAAATCTATCTGTTACATTAGTTCCTGTTGTGGTTGAATTTTGATCAACTGAAATTTAAATTCTTAATCACGTTTTTGGCAATCTCTGTCCAAGATATTAACGTGTATTTTATTTTTTTTAAATAAAATAAAAAAATGTTTATTAAAAAATAAACCAAGAAAGTTTTTGTAATCCTGTCACGAATGACTATTATAATTATAATTGATTTTTCGCTATGATTATACTAATTTGCCAGTAGAGTTAAATAAAATAAAAGAAATTTCCAAATATTAAATATAGTTTATAAAACTTTTCTTGATTTCAATAATATTATTATCATTCATGGAAAATATTTTTTAGATTTGCAATAATTTAATTTGATTATATTGGGTCTGTTAATGAAATAAAATCCATGTAAGTTGAATTAGGCCAATGTAGATCTAGCAAGATCTAAAAAATATTTTTCCGGGTATTATTTCCATTACAGTAAATGATATTTTACCATAGCTGCTCCAACCGTAAGACCAGCAAAGCCAGACTCAGTAATTGGAGTATCAATTACACGTTTATCGCCGTATTTTTTCCAAAGGCCCCGAGAAACTTTATAAGCACCATCGTAAAGAGCAACTTCTTCGCCCATCAAAAATACTCGTTCATCTCGTTCCATTTCTTCATCCAGGGCTGAATTTAAAGCATCTCTGACAGTCATCTGGAAAAATTAATTCAAAAAATTTATTTTCAATAAATCTTTGACATTTCTTTTACGATTACGTGATTATTTATGGACTGTATGATCAACCACATGACCTTTGTCGTCCTTGCGTATTAGAGCATAGTTAGCTAATCATTTATAAAATTTTGTTTGCATATATATTTTATATAAATCCTGAACAAAAAAAAATTTATCCGCAATATATACACTAGTATACAGAATCACTCTAAGAATTAAATGCAATTAAAAAATCATTGAAAAATTTTAAGACATTCAGAACATTCGAGTTAATTCATTATTGGAATATCTTGATTTTAAAAAAAGTAGCTCAACTAAAAGCTAGGTTAGTTCTAATAAAGAAAATTTGTATATATAAATATTAACCTGCTGTGCGGTAGCCCATTTTGAAGTAGAAAAAGATCGTTTTGCGATCCCTCGAACAGCCGACTGAAAATGAAAAGCCATTTATTATTAAATCTATTACTATCATGATAAATATCATGCGAATTTTTTTATTTAATAATCATGTTCTTTATTACTTTGATGTGTCTTAATAAATCTTTTTACCGTAAGCATGGTAGTTCCTATGAATGAGATGGTCAGTAACTTATCTTTTTTCGTTTACTAAAATTTTACCTGAATTACAAAATTGACTCTACTTATATACGTGTCTATTATACTTTTATATGTATATAATCAGATATAATCTAAATTATGTATTGCACTGAGTAGAGAATCAGTTTCGGGTGTCTTCGGTTCTAAATTCTTGCAAGAGTAAATTGCTCGGGTCCGATGTAATAATGCAATGTGTAAAATCAGAAACACTAATGGTTTGTGGCCTAGTATAATATATATTGTGTAGATATAGTTTGAGTTCTCTATTACACATCATATCTGTCAGAACTCAGATTTAAATTTCAGAGAATTTCTTTTTGAACAGCTGAAGACTATATAGGAATTTATTTTATCCTCAAGTCTGTATAATGGCGGCATATTATTCAAAATTAATTATTATAATTAAGAACAGCCGAGACCAGTGATTGCAGTTTCAATCGGTTTAGCGAAACGAATGGAAATTTCGAAAAAACGTTTTTAGAGATAATAGATAATTTAATAAACTATTTCACCACAAAGCGGATTTTTCAAAAATTTCATTCGTTTCGTCAAACCAATCGAAACTGCAATTGCTCTACTGTTGGGAGTGCGACAGAGATAGTTCCGTTGAACTCCGTGAGAGCAAAGCGAGAAAAAGATGGTCTCGTCTGTTGTATTTTATCATCATTGTGAATATATCTATATATCTATTATATATAGATATGTTCACAATGATAAAATACTTAAACCCGGGGTTGAAAAACTGGCCCTAAGGAGCAATTATTTTTTTGCACTTAATTAATTAAAAAAAAAATTAGAAAAACGGTTCACCCTAAAGGCCATCCCTGCAACTTCCCGCTCATTTTGTAATTAAACGCTTCAAACTACGTTTTTGAGCTTTTCGAGCTCAAAAATATTATTTTTGTGTCAATTTGAGCTCTTCGAGCTCAAAACTCTAATAGCAGTTTAAAGACACAATTTTTTGAATTTTCAAACGGCAATAACTTTTGAATGAATGAACCGATTTTCAGGTGGTTGGCGGCAATCGACGCAGTTTTTTGAACTCTATAAAAAAAGTAGCTGTTTTAAGCTTCTGAGCTCTTCGAGCTCAAAAGTCTTATCAAAATTTGATAAAACACGATTTTTAAAATTTTTAAACTGCTATAACTTTTGAATGAATGAACCGATTTTCACGCGGTTGGCGGCAATCGACGCAGTTTCTGAAGCTCCATAAAAAATTTTTAAGTTTAAATCGATCGAGCCATGAATTTCGAAGTTATTACAAAAAAACACTTTTTTCGATTTTTTTCGACAACGATATCTCACGAACGCATCAACCGATTCTAACGTTTTTGGTGACGATCGATGGGGGTTTTCAAGGTTAAGAGCTGATTAGATTTTGAAACCGATCGGTTCAGCCAATTCGGAGATATTTAAAAAAATTAAAAAAACAACTTTTTTTTTCATTTTTTTTTCACTTTTTTTGCATTTTCTCGAAATCTACCGGTCCGAATCGGTTCAAATTTTCAGGAAATCTAAGTTTGGGCAAGCCCTTTCGAATGGCGCCAACCGCAATCAAATCGGTCAAGCCGTTCAAAAGTTACAAGAGGTTTACACACACACACACACACACACACACACACACACACACACACACACACACACACACACACACACACACACACACAC